TCCTGCTTCCTTTCGTTGTGGGCTGTTTGTATCCTGGGACAAAGTGGCTGAGAGTAGAACCCAGACCTGCTTTGGCGGCGAAGGTTGGAGGGGCCCTGGATGGGCTTGGGGGGCCCAGGAGGCTGGGCTGGGAAGGGGAGGTAAAGGCGGAAGAGACGGGTGACTGTGTGGCCAGTGGCGGCTGGAAGGAGAGGTGGCGAGGAGGAGGTGGGCACGCTTAGGGCTGGGCAGCATCTGGGGTGACCCCCGACCAGGAGGCAGGAGATGGGAGACGTCCCCAGAAGACCCATGCCCCATCTTGAGAGGGCTGCAGGTTTCAGTTGAGGCAACAGTTGGAGAAAACAGTTCTAGAAAAGCCAGAGAACTGAGAAATGGCCGGGCCCGGCACTCTGGTTTTATGGTGGCAGCCACAGCCTTGGTGTCCTGCACCCCTGGGGCTCCGAGTCCAGGCCTCTGACTCCAGCTCAGGGTGGCTCCTCCGGAGGTCTGAGAAGGGGTCAGCTGGAGAGCCCCACAGGGCTTGCAGAAGGATTCAGACCCCAGCATTTCAGGGCAGCACCCCAGGGTCTTGTGTCCCGATAAGGGGCCCCTTGTCCATTGGTGAGTCCCACAGAGCCAGTCCTCACCACCCTGGTGTCCAGGTGGCTCCCAGCTGGGCTGCGGAATCCCAGGACTGGGTGGAGGCCATGGGGCCCAGCCCTCGTGGGCCTGGAGCAGCTGTCGGAGACAGGGTTGGTGCATGTGGATGGAGCCAGGTCACCCGCACAACGCTGCCTGTGCTTGCTGGGGAGGGTGCTGGGCGTGACGGAGTTGAATTTTCCGCCTCTGCACTGGGCAGAGCTTTTTCACGCAGGCCTCTGGCCCCTTGCCACATGCCGGTTGTGGAGCCCCACACAGCCCCCCGCCCGGTGGGGATGGGGATGGGGAGGGAAGAGCACACTTATTTGCAGGGCTGAGTGGGCAGAGGCAGATGGGAGCCTCCAAGCTCCTCTCCAGCTCCTCAGCCTCCGGGAAGCAGCCCTGCCCGGGCTGACGTGCTAGAAAAGGGTGGCATGGCCCAACTGTTTTCCCCAGGCCTCCCCGAAAGTGTGCCACAGCCCAGGCTCCTCAGAAGCCAGGGGGCCCCCAGCTGCTCTGGTTCCATCCCTCTGCCCGCCCGTGGGCCTTCCTCCCCTGCCCCCAGTGCCAGCATTGTCTGTCCTCCTTGTCCCAGGCGGGTACTGTTTGGAGTTGGGGCGCTGGGACGTTTCCCGTGGCAGTAGAGCTGTTTAAAGTATGGCTCCCTGTCCTGCCCTCCCTGGGGAGCCCCCCACCTAGTGAAGGTGGGGACTTGGATGAGGCGACATGGATGCCCGCCCTGTCTTCGTCCCTGACTTCCAGGCAGCCTTTGCTCACGTCTGCCCCAGGGAAGGGCTGGCTGTGTGGGGCTGTTTCAGGGGCTGCGTGATGAAGGCTCCTCCTGGCCCGGGAGCCCAGCAGCTGAGGGCTCTGGCCGGCTCTGCTTTCTCCACGGGTCGATGTCCTTGCCACTGCTGCCAACCAGAGTCCCCAGGTGAAGGCGGCCAAGGCCACTGGCTTCCTGGGGACCCCAGCCTGCCTTGTCACCAAGAGAAAAGGGGTCCTTTCTCTCCAGCATCACCTGAGAGGATCCCAGGAGGAATCCGTGTGGGAGAGGCAACCCCTAGTTCCGAGCAGGGTGTCCATGGGGTGCAGGCAGGAGGCGGGCTGGGTGGGCTCTGGGGGTCCCGGCTGTACAGGGGGTATTTTCTGTCCTCAGCATGGGGCTGGGACTTGGGGTCCTTGGTTGTTGTTTAGGCCACCTCCCTGGTTAGAAAATTCATGGTAAGCACTGAGGTCTCCCAGGCCAGGCCTCCAGCATCCTGCGTGGGCCACGTTACTCCTGGGCCACCCTCTGGCCAGGCTCACCCTTGGGTGCCCATGCTCTCAGCAGACAGTTGAGGGTGAACAGGCCCGCTGGCCCCAGGCACACACCTGTCCTCTGCACCTGCAGGGAGGCATTGTCAACAGAAAGAGGAAGCAAAGTATTTGAAACGTGTCTCTTGCAGGTGGGCCCTGCCGAGGGCAGGGGGAGCGTGGCGGGTTCCCTCGGTGGGGAGTGTAGCGGGTTCCCTCGGTGGGGAGCGAGGCTGCAGAGGTTCCTGGCGGCTGGGTCTCATTTCAACTCAGTGTTTATGGCCTCCTGCTCCTTGCGACAGGCACGTTCCTGTCTCTGACCTTGCCTTGCAACCACTGGGGGCAGGGTGGCTAGGTTTGACTCAAATGCAAGGAAAATGGCGAGAAACTTCTCGCCAAGGAAGCTACGTAGATAAGAAACCTAAGGAAGGGGAGACAGAGGAGAGGAAGCGATCAGTGTGCATGTCCAAAAGCCAGCCCAAGGCAGACTCAGCGAAGGGGCAGAGGGCGTGCCCAGCTGTGCAGGAGCGAGGGTGGGCGAATGGCAGGAGAAGGGGCAAAGGCAGGAGCCAGGTGCCAGCCTGGTCCTCGGTCCTCGGTCAGGGGTCCCGGAACTGCCCGAGGCACGTGGGGGCAAGTGGGTTGGGGCAAGCACGTAGCGCGTGGCCCGCAGTTTCTGTGTTTGAGATCTTTAAAAGTATTCATAATGAGCTGGGCACAATGACTCACGCCTGAAATCCCAGCACTTTGGGAGGCCAAGGCAGGTGGATCACCTGAGGCTAGGAGTTCAAGACCAGCCTGGGCAACAGGGTGAAACCCCATCTCTACTAAAAATACAAAAAAAAAATTAGCCAGGTATGGTGGCAGGCGCCTGTAATCCCAGCTACTTGGGAGGCTGAGGCAGGAGAATTGCTTGAATCTGGGAGGTGGAGGTTGCAGTGAGCCGAGATCACGTCCCTGCACTCCAGCCTGGGCGATAGAGTGAGACTTCACCGTCTCAAAAAAAAAAAGAGAAATCATAATAGAAAACATTCAAAACATCCGACACACTTGAACTAGAGAGCAGCGGGCTGGGAGCCCAAGTGCCCTTTGTCCCTTCATGGTTGGTACCACCCCTGGCTACTCCTGTCCTGGGGAGCCGTGTCCTCCCTGCCCACCCCCCGGCCACTCCTGTCCTGGATGGCCATGTCCTCCCTGCCCCCTCCCCCAGCCACTCCTGTCCTGGGGAGCCGTGTCCTCCCTGCCCCCACCCGGCCACTCCTGTCCTGGGTGGCCGTGTTCTCCCTGCCCCGATCCCTGGCCACTCCTGTCCTGGGTGGCTGTGTCCTCCCTGGCCCTGCCTCCGGCCACTGCATGACTCTGGAGCAGGTCCTAGGCATGTTCTCATTCTGTCTGAAACGCGCCAGGGTCTGTGTCTGAAAGATGAGGACTGGAGAGAAACAGCCCAGGGCAGTGCAGCGGGTTTGGCTGCAGGCTTTGCAGTGTGCCTCCTCCTGGCTGCGTGTGGGGGCACCCAGGCCCCTGCCCACTGAGGTGAACCTTTTCCAGGCTGCCTATGTCAGAGCCACCTTCATGGGGATGTTTAGCCCCCGGTGTCTGTCCTGGGGCCCCAGCTGGGGTCCTAGTCTGTTGGCACCTGTGTCGTGAGCTTCCAGGGTCAGCTTGGAGCCCCAGACCCATGTCCGCTGCTGCGTCAGCTGGAGCACAGGTGGGGTTGTGTGACCTCCTCGGGACTCTTTTGGAGTTTCTGTCCTGGACGGGTGCTTGTGGGATCCCAGCTCCCAGCACCTGGGCTCCGCTGGCCTCCCGGAACAGGCGTCCCGTGTTCCTCATCTGTCAGTGCTGGGATAGACCCCAAGCAGCACCCACAGGGTCCCTCCAGCGGGCAGGACAGATGGAATCACCCTGCCTCCGCTCACCCCCTGGGAACTCTTGCCCAGCAGCCAAGTAGCTGAAAGTGTGGGAGGTCGGGCACCCAGAACAGGGCAGCCACAACCAGAGTGCCCCGCCCAGAAGCTGCTGCTTTCTGAAGCCAGTGCCTCCTTCCTGGGCTATGGCCACAGCGTGGGTGATACATGTATAAGGAGCCGTTGCAGTGCTGCTCTGGGCGGCCCCGTCGAAGCTGCACATCCATTACCTGGCTCTGGAGGAGGAGGTCTGGGGATCCAGGTGGAGAAATCGGGTCCCTGCCCTCCTGTGGTGGGGCACTCACTCGTGTGCTGTCTCTCACCAGATCCTTGGCAGGATGCAACGTGGAGGGTGACTGTGTGGCGTCCAGTGTGGGGCCCAGGCAGGCCTGGCTGTGCCGGGCGTGGTCCCTGCTTTCTGTCCCATCAGCAGGATGTGGAGCGGCCGCCTGTGCCCAACCCCTGGGCTCCAGGCGTCTGGTAGCGGTGGCCTGTAACTCGAGCCCGTCCTGGCTCGCTGGGGCTGTGAGCTGGGGTTTTTGTGGAGCAGACAGGACGACGAGGCCCCTGTTTGGAGTTTGCTGTGGCTCGCTGGGGCTGTGAGGTGGGGTGTTCGTGGAGCAGGCAGAATGACGAGGCCACTGTTTGGAGTTTGCTCACCTCGGTTCCAGCAGACCCTTCTGCCCGGGGGCCAGTCTCTCCGATCTACTCTGTGTGGCTCGTGGAGGCACCCCCCAGCCTCCACTCAGATGTGAGGGCCTGTCTCTGGCATGGCCAGCCGGACACACGGGGCCAGCACAGTCCCAGGGTTTTCTTCTGTCTGCAGCCCGAGGAGATCAGAATCACAACCGTCAAGAGACGAAGCGCCACTCCTCCAGTTTCCATTTTTAAGATGTTTCTTAAAGTCAGCCTTACAGGGGCTCTGAGGACATCCACGTTGTCTGAGCGATCCCTGCCCCAGCAGAGCAGGCTGGGTGGACAGACACGGGCCTTACGCTGGGGGCTCCATCGCCCCATCTGACTGTTGCGTCGTCCCCATGCCCAGAGACTGCAGCTACTGGTCCCTTTCCCATGCCACTGCTGCCATCCTGGGGCCCCGGGCACCTCTGGGGGAACCGAGTGGTGCAGACCCAGGGTGCCACAGGTGGCCCCTCTGAGCTTTCGGTGTTTTTCTTCTAGGCTGGTCCAGGGACCCTCATCATGGCCACAGGAGTCCAGGACTTTAACCGGACAGAGTTTGATCGACTGAATGAGATCAAAGGTCACCTGGAAATTGCCTTATTGGAAAAACACTTCTTACGTGAGTACCAGAAAGTGCTTGGAGGGGGTGGGACAAGCTGGGTCAGGGGTGGCTGAGATGAGGGATGTTGTCTTGCCCAGGAGCTGGGTCTGATGAAGACCTGTGCCGGCTCCATTGCTGGATGCGAACCCTGGGCAGCTGTGGCTCCGGCGTGGCTCTTTGGGCTGGGTGGTCCCGGCACAGCCTCTGCCCCTGCGTTTGAGCCTCCCTTGCGGCCCTGCTAAGCTGGCACTCAAGGTTGCTCCACAGGGGCTGGGGGCATGGGGGCCTTTCCCCCGTGGGGTAAAGGAGAGTCTCAGGGGAAGAGGAGTGAAATGTTCTGAGAAAATTCTAATTATTTCAGTGAATGCGTCCCTTGCGTTCCCAATGGGTAGCTCAGACTTTTTCAGAGCTTTTGGAAGGACTCTGAAATCTTCCGTTTGTTCTGGTTGGTTTGTGTGTCCAGGAGGGAGGTGGGGCAGTGGGCTCTCGTGTCCCCTGGCCTTGGCCAGGCGTGCCCGGCTTGCTGGGCTTTGGGCTCTGCAGCAGTGAGAATGGTAGAGATTCTCATAGGCGGGGCTCGCAGGCCTGGCCCCACTTGGTGTATCGCTCTTGAGCCTCTCTCCCCACCTGTGTCCTTCCTGTTGTCCAGATGTGGAAACTGAGGCACAGAGGATTCACTGAAGTCACCCTGCCGTGAGGTGACATCTCACTAGTAAGGGGCCACTTACCAGTAAGACAGCACCAGGCAGATGAGTCCCAGAGTTCCTGCCAGCGACCCTGCCGCGTGTGGTTTTCACAGCTGACACTATGGTGGAATTCTTGTTATTACGCTCCTGTGTGTCCAGAGCCAGTCACTTGTGAACCACATGGAGCCCCCGTTTGTGACAGGCAGGGGCTTAGGACCCGAGTGGGTAGGTCACTCCCGTCTGGGTGTCGTGCCCAGCAGGGATCTCTTCCATGCTCTGGACCAGACAGTTGGTGCCTTTGCCAGAAGGGCTGTCGTCTGGGTGCCCCGTCTGTGGTTACAAGTGCTTCATGTCAAGGCCGGTCCTTGTGGGTTCACCTGGCAACAGGCCAGAGCATGGTAGTGAGCCTGTGTGTGTGTGGCACTGGACCGTGTGTGTGCTTAGACGGCGTAATGAGCTCTGTGTGCTCATGTTTGTGTGGCCATGGTTAATGGTGTGTGCATGAGTGTGTGTGTGTATGTGTGTCTTTATGTACAGTGGTGGTGAACTCTGCGTATGCGTATGTATGAATAGTTAATCATGGTAGTAGTTAACCGTGTGTATATAGACAGTGGTAGTTAACCCTATGTGTGCGTGCGTGTGCGTGTGTGCAGTGGTGGTTAACCCTGTGCGTGCATGCACGTGTGTGGCAGTGGTTAACTGTGTGTGTGCACATGTGCAGTGGTAGTTAACCCTGTGTGTGCCCATGTGCGGCGGTGATTAGCCCTGTGTGTGTGCGTGCGTGTGCAGCAGTAGTTAACCCTGTGTGTGCGTATGCAGTGTATTTAACCCTGTGTGTGTGTGCGCGTGTGTGGCAGTGGTTAACCCTGTGTGTGTATGTGTGTGCTGTGGTAGTTAACCCTGTGTGTGCGTGTGCAACAGTAAACCCTGTGTCTGTGTGTGCACATGCAGCGGTGGTTAACCCTGTGTGTGTGTGCGTGTGCCTGCGTACAGTTGTGGTTAACCCTGTGTGTGTGTGCATGTGCCTGTGTACAGTTGTGGTTAACCCTGTGTGTGTGTGTGCGCGCGCGCATGCCCGTGTACAGTTGTGGTTAACCGTGTGTGAGTGTGTGTGCCCGTGTGCGGCAGTATTAACCGTGTGTGTGTGTGCATGCCCATGTGTGGCAGTATTAACCGTGTGTGTGCACATGTGTATGTCCATCTGTACTCTGACAGCTTTTTCAGGCCCCTGAGGACTGGACATTGGTCGTTCTGAGGACAGCTCTGGTGACACATTGTGGCTGTGCTGTGGAGTGACTCAGTCTACCCACTAGTCTTAGGTTGCATAGAGCCAGCCTGGGCAGAGAGGGGCTGGGCCCCGTGGGCTGCTGACAGGGTTCAGTCCTCCCGATGACCATCCTGGCGACCTGCCGCCTGCAACCTCGCCGGTTTGCAGTGGTGGCTCTGCTGGAGTTGAGGGAACTCTGAGAATGGAGAAGCCGGGCTCTCCCTGGGTGGTGGCAGCAGGGGGCTGGCCCTTGGTTGACTGTCCAGCGGGGCCTGTGCATGGAGGGTGTGGCCCGGAGAGCATCGCTCGGCAGACCCTAGTTAAGTCGTCAACCCCCAGAGGCTGCCTTGTCCGCTGAACCTGGCGAACTGCCTTTCTGTGAGTCAAAGGGGTTGAATATTGATGGTTTTTCAGTCACGGGGCAGGGGGTCGACGTTTCACTTTCAGGGAGCAGGTGCTCTTGGCGCAGGGGAAGGATCTGTGAGCATCAACAGGGACCCTCTGCTGGGGCCCAGGAAGCTTCAGGAGAAGGGGCGAGCTGGCATGTGGGGTGGAGGGATGGAGGGACGCCTGTCCATGCACATTCATTTGAGGCTTTGTTGATACAAAGTTGCAAAATGGAGACAGCAGAACCCACAGGGCTGCCTCTCTGGGGACAAGCAGATCCCGGAGGAAATGAGGCCACTTGGTCATGAACAGAGCTGCTGGCATCCATGGAACAGCACTTGTGACTGCGTCCTCAGCATTTGCCAAAGGAGCATCTCCTTTTACCCCTTGGTAGCTCATGAAGTAAAAGTGTTGGGTTCAACTCTGACAGCCTGTGGGGTGGTGAGCACAGGGATTCTTTTTTAATTACGGAAAGTTTCAAATGTATCCGGAAATGGAGCAGAGTGTCATGGGCCTCCCTGGTTGAAACCCACCATTAGCTGCAGCAAGATTCCAGACCAAGCAGCTTCCCTGACACGCCCTCTCCCTGCCCCCCCCCCCCCCCCCCCCCCCCCCCCCCGCTGATGTTTTGGAACAAATCCCAGCCAGCATCCTCTCATTTCAGCTGTAAATATTTCAGTGGGTAGCTCAATGTGTTTTAAAAACAAAAGCCACAAGTCTAATATCACAACTGAAAAAAGCAAACAGCTTTTCGTTAATACCATCAGCTGTCCAACTTAGGTTCAAATTTCCCTGATAGGGAATGAGCCATTGCACTCCAGCCTGGATGACAGAGTGAGACCCCATCTCTTAATATTTTTATTTTATTGTATTTTATTTTATTTATTTATTTAGAGATGGAGTCTCACTGTCACTCAGTCCGGAGTGCAGTGGTGTGATCTCGGCTCACTGTAACCTCTGCCTGCTGGGTTCAAGTGATTCTCTGGCCTCAGCCTCCTGAGTAGCTGGGATTACAGGCGCCCGCCACCATGCCTGGGTAATTTTTGTATTTTTAATGGAGACGGGGGTTTCACCATGTTGGCCGGGCTGGTCTCGAACTGTTGACCTCATGTGATCCACCTGCCTCGGCCTTCCAAAGTGTCAGAATTACAGGCGTGAGCCACTGCATCCGACCCCATCTCTAAATAAATAAATAAATAAAGAAGGAAGGAAGGAAGGAAATAAATTTCCCTGAGGAGGTCTCAGATTGCTTTGCAGCTCTCTCTGAATGAAGAGTCAGATGCGGTTGGTGTGTTGTGCTTGCTGGTGTCTCTCTCCAGTCTTGACCCTGCAGGTTCTCGCATCACACTTTTTGTCCTTGGTAGACCAGGTCACCTGCTGGACAGTCTCTGCTGTGGACTCTGCTGAAGGTGGCCTAACATGGTCCATACCCTGTGCTTCCCGGTCGCGACGGGGTTGGGTGACCCTCAGGGGACGATCCCTCTGTTGGTGGTGCTGTGTGCTTCCATGAGGCAGTCTCTGTTCAATGTCACAGCTTTGATGATTATTGCTCGGAGCCATCATTTCATTAGAGGTTGCAGAATGGTCATTTTCTACTTCCGCCATTCCCTTTCCATTTGTTAGCTGACACATTTCTGAAAACAAACTTCCCTTTGTCCGCCGTTTGGCTCTGCCGAGGAGTAGTTCATAGACGAGGGGCAGAGTGCATGGTTGGAGTCCCCCCTCGTTTTCCAGTTTTCAGAATAATAAGTTGCATTCTCTTCTGAGAACAGCCACCAGTGAGGGTGTTGGGCTCTCCTGGGGTTTTTGGTATTCTCATGGGACAGTGAATGTAAACATATTTGGCGTGTTTTGATAATTCTGGTTCGTATCTGATTAATGCTCAAATGGTTCTGCCTCTGGGCCTCTTTCAGTTGGCTTCTGAGAGTCCTTTTGACACAACCCAGTTGTCTCTGAGAGATTCCTTGCTTTTTGGTGTGACCAGATATCCCAGGCTCATCACCAGTCCTGGAATTGACCATTTCTGAAATAAAGCCCTGGTTCCTTTTGGTGGAAGCGGACATTGACACACTCCATGGGGATCCTGGGGCATTGATGGCCGCTGGTGACCTGTTGTGTCTGGACCTTCTCAGTGGACAGGGCATGGGCCTCAGGAGTTCCTACAGATAATTCTATGGGAATTCACATCCAGGACTCCTAAAGTGCCTGTTTAACCTCATCGGACTTTTATTGTATCTTTCTTTTGCTGAAATCTTGGTTCTCAGTGAATATCATCAGCATTACTCATTTGTTTGATCCCTTGATAATACACACAATCTCAAAATAAAATATCACAGGATTACTCAATGCGGTCTGTATTTGTTTCTAGTTCTTTTGTCCTTAGGACATGTTCCACTAGAAGGGTACAGGTTGTGGTGTTCGACAGTCATTGGCAAGACTTTTTCCTTCCTTTGTGGCTGTGTTATCAAGTCAGTACAGAGTTGGGTGCATTTGTGTCTTTTCACCTTAGATTTCTAGAGATGGCTTTTTTTTCTTTTAAATTTTGACATGATTTCAGACTTACAGGAAAGTTACAAAAATAATACAAAGAATTCTTGTATATTTTTCATCTAGTTATTCCCCAAAGGTTAATATTTTACCACATTTGTCTGTCTGCCTCTCTTATCTATCTATCCATC